TATTTTTATCTTTTTCGTTTTTTGATGACATTTTTCGATTTTAGCAAATCGTTTGCTCGTTTTACAAATTTTGCATCAATTTTATATACTGCCGTAGAAGTAGTTATCGATTTTGGCGGGTGGGTCAATGCAGACTTCTCGAACAAAGATTGTTTTTTAAATAACAAAATAATTTTAGTAGTGAAATATATATATTTATGAGAGACTTGATATCTATATCTACATATATGGCAGATTTTCATTATATTGCCATATATGGAGATGTATTAACGGACAGTTTTTTAAATTTACTGTGTGTTGGGTTGCATAGAAAATAAGGTACAGTGGATATTAGAAACTTAAAATAAGAAAGATACAGTTGTCTCTCGTTATATTGCCGCATATATGTTAAAGGCTGTTAGATTGTTAAAATTCTAGGATCTCAACGTCTCAAGTTTTTAAAATTGTACAATATAAAAATTTCAGACTTTCAAAGACTTGAAGTCCCATTTCCAAAGTCCCGAGTTCTAAGAGATGAAAGTCCCAAAGTCTCTAGAATCTAAAATCCCTAAATTTCTAAAGTCTAAAGTCCCTAAATTTGTGGACCTCAAACTTGAGTTGAAGCTGCAATCTGACAACGGACGTTCTACCATCAGCAGTGATCGGCCATCTTCGTAAATCTTCGTGCGTTACATTCGTAGACAGAGGTGGCGCCACTGGTCAATGTAAAAGGCCAGCATCGGCAATATAACACGAGACAACTGTAAATATGAAACTATGCACTTATAAATACACTGATACGCAATTACGTTTACAAAATAAATATACTTATAAATAAATTAATAAATTTTCGACAGCTAGCAATTATCATAAATTAAATGAATAATAAATAATAAAATTTTAAGTAACAAAAGAGGTATTAAAAAAATTTTGTTCGAACGAAGTCTGCATACCTTCCTTAAGAACATATAGTATTGAAATTTTTACAATTCTTTAACACTTGAAATAACGATATACATTTTGAAATAAACAATATGGACGTGCTTAAAACGTAAATACAATTTTGCACACTGAATATTTTATACATAAATTTTTGAAAGGATACGTGGAAAAGAGTTTCCTTTCCGTTTGATCCTTACCACATTGTGTGTTAGTAGATGTAACATTCAGATCTTCTATTAACAAAATATGGCGTTGTACACGCATGCCTGGTGCTCTTTATTTAAACAAAGTACATATGTTGAATTTTAGACGTGATATGTCCACTCGGATTGAAATGTCACATATCTGATTGTGACATTTTTTGATCAATTATTTTTATCGTATAAAAATATAATAAACGTCTATTTAACGCTACAGGTAATCAATTTTTTATTGGCATTATGGATAATTAATATCTTTACGTGTACTATTTATTTCATGTGGTCTATGGTTTTTATAAATTATTATAAGTTCCATGAATAATAGAATTAATAATACAATTATTACAATTACAATAATACAATTTAAGTTAAATATTTTTTATTTCTCTTTATTTAAAAATTATTCTGCACATGTGTGAATCTCAAGAAAGATTTAATATTAATATTACAATATTTCATAAAAATTAATATTATATGAAACAAATTTGTTACAGATAATAAATTATAGTCAACTTCTGTTTTTTAATATGCTTTTAATAAATAAACTATAAAATCCATCAGAATAATTTTACTTAAAAATTTGTACATTGAATTAGTATTCTCAAATTATTCCTTTCAAAAACAGTGTATGATAAATTAATTCCGATAATAAAAATTATATTAACAACACAGAGATCTAAAAATTATAATAATTAAACAAATTGTCTTTTCTTACAAGCACGTCAACAGTTTCGATTAATGTTTATGTGTTAAACATTATTCTTCAAATAAAATTTCATTTCTTGGTTTATAGAAATGAATATCACATCTGTTTGCTATTTTATTATATTTATAATTATTCTTCTTTATTCAATTTCTGCACCGTATTTATTATATGCACTGTTAGTTGCCAAAGCTGGGCACGGTTTTAAACAATCAAATCGATTAAACATTTTTAATATTCTATTTTATGCTAGTTGTACAATTATGAAAAATTATAATTTTACAAAAAAAAATTAATATAACATTCTTCCACAGTAATTGACAAAATTACTTTTTACTAGACAATGTTTTTATTTTATGGACATATTAAACAAAATTGTTATGAGTCCTGTTTATACACTGTTACAATGATAAAATATCTTCGTTATTATAATTTGATATTATTATTTAGAAAAGAAAGGAGTGACTCTCGTTATATTGCCATGGACAGAGCTGTGAAAGCAAGGAATTGACATTCAAAATATAAAAAGAACTTTTAAAATTGTAAGATGCCAAAACTAAAGAATTTTGAAGTTCCAAGTACAAGGTCCCAATATTGCGAAACTCAAAAATTAAAAAATTCCTAAAGTACGAGGTCTCAAAATCCCAAAGTACACAAATTCAAAACTCTCAAAATCCCATATTGCTGAAACTCAAAGATTCCAAAATCCCAAGGACTGAAATTTCAAAATTCCAAAATCCCTATGTACTGAAATTCCAAAATCCCTATGTACTGAAATTCCAAAACCCCAAAATCCCAAAGTTCTGAAATTCCAAAATCCCAAAATCCCAATGTACTGAAATCCCAAAGTCCCAAGATCCCAAACTTCTGAAATTGCAATGTACTAAAATTGCAAAATCTCAAAATCCCAAAGTACTGAAATTGCAAAATCCCAAAGTACTGAAATTTCAAAATTCCAAAATCCCTATGTATTGGAATTCCAAAATCCCAAAGTACTGAAATTCCAAAACCCCAAAATCCCAATGTACTGAAATTCCAAAGTCCTAAAATCCCAAACTTCTGAAATTCCAAAATCCCAAAATTCCAATATACTGAAATTGCAAAATCCCAAAATCTCATAGTACTGAAATTCCAAAATCCCAATGTACTGAAATTCCAAAGTCCCAAAATCCCAAACTTCTGAAATTCCAAAATCCCAAAATTCCAATGTACTGAAATTGCAAAATCCCAAAATCTCATAGTACTGAAATTCCAAAATCCCAATGTACTGAAATTCCAAAGTCCCAAAATCCCAAACTTCTGAAATTCCAAAATCTCAAAATTCCAATGTACTGAAATTCCAAAGTCCCAAAATCCCAATCTTCTGAAATTCCAATGTACTGAAATTGCAAAATCCCAAAATCCCAAAGGTCTGATATTCCAAAATCCCAAAGTCTAAATCTAAAAATTCTCAAATCTATACTTAATCAGAAACTTAATCATCAAGTTTCCATACTAACGTGTCATCATCCGCCATCTTCGTCAACCTGCGGCCATCTTCGTGCGCTTTCGTGCGCCTTCGTGCGTCTCCGTACACTGCAACAGCGCTTCGAGCGTTCAGTAAACTACATACAAAGAAAAAACTTACTCACAATGGCAATATAACGAGAGTTAACTAATATTGAACTAAAACAAATTAAATTTACATTAAAACTACTATAGACACTCTCTACATTATAGTTAATTACTAATCAACATCCGAAAATCAGGGACTTTCTCCAAAAAATTTCCTTGAGAACAAAAATACAAATCGTCAAACCGACACCAATATTACAAACCGAAATTCTTATTTTACGCTACCCCTATTATTTGCGTGTGTAAGGTTGTTAATTTCGCTCAGACGTTTATCTACTGATTTTGCACAGTGTGTAGTTTTGTTATCACGAGTGGATACAGTTCACCATTATTGCGAGCCATTTTACTCAATTTGAACATTAGCCCTCTTAATTGCCTATATACGTCACATTAGATAGCTGCAGGAGTAATTACAATAGTTTGTTGGTCTCTTCGTCGAGTTTGGGATTAGAGTAGGATCTTAGAGCAATTAGTTTAGAGAACACTAGACTTCTTCCATCTTTCGCATGATCTTAGATATTAATTAACTTTTTACATTACCTATTTCCCTAATTGACAATTGCTGAGGTGCTTTATTTGCATGCCGTACTTTGGTGTTTTGTGTGGTGCTTTGTTGGAATTTGGCAAAACAGAGCGTTGCCTAATGGAGATTGCCTTAGGTCTCATGGTATAATTCTCCTTTGAGATTACTTCTATGTTTTGTACTGTGGTAAAAAGGTCACTATCATAGTACAAAGACTACACTATAACGTAAATGAATCACTCTGAATTTCTATAACAAAGATAACTTTGCAGGAGAAGAGTAATTCAGGGGCAAACAGTTGAACAATTCTGTATGAAGAGAAATCATTTAAACTAATTTTCGTTGATGTGTGGAATTAATTGTTCTAATGGAAGTGGAAGAAGACTATAATCATAGTTCTTACTTTTGAAAAATACTCTTTACCTATTGGCCCATTATTGTGGGCAGATCGAATGCTCTTGAAGAGTCCATGAGTGCCCATTGACTGCATCATGGCATATTGATGTTAGCTTATATTATGCATATCAACTTCTATGTATTCTAAATACATAATTCTCGACATCCACGTTACCTCTATGCAAAACTTAAAATTAAAATACCTCAAAAACGAAGGCCCATTCTGAAAAAGTCCAATAACCTTTTCATTACCCTAAATGCTTGCTACGACCTCCACAAACTATTATTCCAAAAGCGATCGCCACATCTGTGTCCTATCTTCTGCAACACATACAAACAATTAATTTTGCAACCTTTTTACAAAATATTCAAACAGTTAAAAATATAATATAATAAATAAAGAGACGCTCTGTTATGCCTCAAAATGTAAATGCAGCAATAAAATAGAATGTATTATACAAATTTGCATGAAACTTAGAATAAAACTTATGGATGCCTTATCATGTTACTAATATATTAACTTACATGTGACTTATCCTATGCCATTATATGTTCTAGGTATAAGTGTTTTCTAGTTGCGAATAACAGTAATATTGTTTGATATAAATGTGAGCATGGAATATTATGCAAAACTTCGTCTTAGGTTATGCTTCACGAAGTTGAAGCTGTTGCTGCTGGCGATCGAGATAAAGGGCGAAGGAGGCGGAGACAGTAAGATCTCGATCAATCCACGTGGTGCCAAGATCGTTGCAAATACTCAGGGATTCTTCATTGCTCAATCTGCCGACGAAGTGAAACGGTGAGGATAAATTATTCGTTAAAAGAAAAAATAAATTCTGTGAGTGATTAGTGGATACAACGTGGTGATTGTAGCAGAACTATAGTTGTGAAACAGAAATTTGAGCATTTTGAAATTTGGGAATTTGGGGAATTTAGGGAATTTAGAGAATTTGGGATATTTGGGGAATTTGGGAAATTTGGAAAATTTGGGAAATTTGGGAAATTTGGGGAATTTGGGAAACTTGGGAAATTTGGGGATTTAGGAATTTTCATGATTTTAGGAATTTTGGGGATTTGGGGATTCGAGTTTAGAATTTGGGGAATTTGGGAATCTTGGGATATTTGAGAAATTTGGGGAATTTGGAAGATTTTTGGGATTTGGGGAATTTGGGGATTTTGGGAATTTTGAGAATTTGGGGAATTTGGGGAATTTGGGAATTTGGGTATTTGGGAATTCGAGAGTTTGGAATATAGGGCATTTAGGGAATTTGGGGATTTAGGAATTCGAGAGTTTAGAATTTGGGAAATTTGAGGAATTTGACGATTTTGGGAATTTGGAAATTTGGAAATTTTGGAATTCGAGAGTTTGGAATTTAGGAAATTTGGGGAATTTGGGGAATTTGGGGATTTTGGGAATTTGGGAATTTTGGGATATTTGAGGAATCTGGGAAATTTGGAGAATTTGGGAGATTTAGGTGAGGATTTGGGGAATTTGGGGAATTTGGAAAATTTGGGAAACGAGAAATTTGTGAAATTTAGAAAATTTGGGAAACTTGAGAAATTTGGGAAATTTGGAAAACTTAAGAAATTTGGGAAATTTGAGGAATTTGTTCATTTTGAAAATTTGGAAACTTGAAAACTGAAAATTGGACAAATTGGAAATATAAGAAATTTGTGAAAATTAAGAATTTAAAAACTTTGAAATAATTTGCAATTTGGGAAACTAGGGAAATCTTATAATCTGGAAAATTTTGAAATATGAAAATTTGGGATTAAAAAAATTTGACAAACAAATATTAAAAATTAAAATATCAAAAACCTTGAAAACTGAAAAACCTAAAATACAGTTTGCGCCTGCAACGTCACCTGTCATAAAGCAATTAATCCAATTATAAAAAATAACGAGTAACTTTCTGTTTCTAGGGCGTGGTTCTATTGCAAAGCATGCCATGAGGATATAAAAGATGAAACGCTGATCAAGAAGTGCAAGTGTAAAAATTGTAAGTCTTTAAAGTCTAATGACATCCCTTTAATGACATCTAATTCTTTCCGGATTCTTTGCTCTCGAATCTTTGACTAATCTAATTCAAACTTTATATCGGTGATTATATATAATATATATATATAAGAATAATAATAATTAATAATTAATAATATATGTCTCTATGTACATAGAGTGCTGTACGCACCAAACAATTGCGAATCACACGTGATATAATTTTATTAATTAAAAAACTCGTGTGACTCGCAAAAAATGATCAACAGCTATACCGGACGAATCACATAGAAAAAAAAAGATCTCTCTGTTTCCGTGATCTTTTGTAATCCGTGATTTCCTTCGCCCTGTCCTTTTTCTTTTTCTCTATGTTCCTTCAACCACCGAAAGACGTAGTAGTAATTACCGCGACAATTAACGAATTGACATGGTTGTGACCATCCTCTTGTGATATATGATCTAGTGGGGCAACAGCAGCGCTCCTGGGGCCGGGATTTAGGTAACGTCTCACACTCGCTCGCTTAGCCTTTACTATCATCTTCTGACTATCTCCTTTCTACTTTTTATATTTCACCTTCTTCCAACTTCTGTCCATTAACTACTGATATTTGATTGGTACGTTTGATACTTTCACGATGATTTTGATTGGTCGTCTGGTTGTGGGTTTCAGTCGTGTTTTGCTTTTGTAGATATTGCAATGTAGATTTGTACTACATTTTGTGGATATTGCAATGGAGACTCATTTTTTAAGGGATTTTTTAAGGGATTTGATTCTTTTTCTGGTTTACATTTTTGTATAATTATATGGGGGATTATATTTCGACAGTTTGGGCGATAGTTCAACAGGACTATTAATGGTGAAGTCAGTGGTAGCTCCATTAGGACTTACGCATTTAGACAAATATTATTAAATATATGATATCTATGAATCTGGATTAGATAGAGATGGATTAGTAACTTAGAACAGGACCTATCTATGATAGGACAATATTGAATTTAATGATTAATAGGATAGAGAGGAGACAATTGATGTAGAAGAGGTACCTAGGCTGTGACATGTGAATCATGTGAGGATGCATGACATAAGAAGCAAACTAATGATACATTGTACAAGGACTCATACAATAAAGAGCAGATGTAGGCTTGATGTAGAAGTCTCATTTAGGATGTAACATCTAGCCATTATCTTATGAGTCATAGCTAAGTTTAATCTTGTTAGTCTAATAAGATAAGTGCAGACTGATGATGCAGGTTTTAGTTAAGTGACATGTGAGAGTTCAGAGTAAGGAAACTCATGATGTGGGTTAAATCATGAAAAGACCCAGGTCAGTAGTAGAACTGCAGGTGAACATAGTGTTATTTAGGATGTGACATACGCTGGGACCTGGAAGGATATAATCAGTAGTCCCTGAAAGTAGATCAGGCCTTATTTAGCATGTGACATATGTGGAGTCATGTAAGGACTCATAGGATCAGCAGAACACTCATGATGAAAGACTTTATTTAGAATGTAACATGTGATGAACTGTGAACAGTAGACACAACATGTAGAGATCTAAGTTATCAAAAGGGGATATGGGGAATGGTGAAAGGATACATAGGGTGTACAATACATTCATTATGTAAGGAAGGTGTTACTTAAGATCTGACATGTGGACAATGAGATTCATAGAATAATTTAGTCTGCCATCTCAGAAGATGTGCAAATTGTCATAGGATGTGATAGTCAGTAGGATGTGACAGTACTGAACAATGTGATAGTCTAAGTATTACATAAAGAATGTGGAAAGAGTCCTACGTCAAATATAGTGTCATTAGGTTACCATAATGTTGCTAGGGATCTAGCATGTAACATATGAAATGGACCAATGATGCAAAAGTATTTAGAATATGTCATCAAATTACCAAACTAGTAGAATAACAGTACCTAACAAAGGTAGAGTCACAAGAAAAACTAGAAGACCTAAAACAAACTGCAATATTTATTAAAAATATCAACCACAAAAACATAACACGACCGAACCTAAAAAATCAATCAACGACTAATTATCATCGTGTCCTTCAACTTGCTTCTATAAACCCCTTCGTGCACTTTGCTATCCATCCCCCTTCAACTTCCCCTCTCCCTCTCTCTGTTTATCTTATCTCTGTCTCTCTTTCTGAAATAGGCATACATATATTTTTGTCTCTGCATATTTCTGTCTCTCTTGTGTGTCTTACTTGTGTGTACATATGCCTTCGAGTTTGGAACCATTTTATCCTGCATATTATAAGCAAAAGACGGTGGTGATGATGATTATGATGATGACAATGGCAATGAGATGATTGCACTTTTAATTCCCATTCAGAGACACTTATTCAACACGATTGCGATGTTTACAGTCGGGTATCTATTCGTTTTTCACGGTTTCCGTACTCGTTTTGTTCCAGTCTTTTTTTTAATTTTCTTTCCGTTCGCTGCGAACTCTGTATTCTACGACTGATTGGTTTATGGAAATTCTGATTAAATTTGGTCGTTCAGGGAGTTAGCAGCACCTTGTTATCTGACCCTATGACGGCGGAGATGGGTCTATTTTGACCCAGAATAATTTATATGTTATGGACACTCAAATATTTTAATGGAATGAACATAGAGGTTATTCACATGAGTATCCTAGTGTCACATTTGAATTTTTTGGTTTAAATTTGGAGTTTACTGTACTTAAATCATGTAGTATCGTTTAGAGGGATGTAGAAGACTCTTTTAGAAGCATAACAATTCACATAGATAGACCAAGTGACCTCCTAGAGGCGTAAATGCAGTGATATGCAGACCACCGGCATGTCACCTTCAAAGTTCGATATTTGGGAGATAACTGATTCAAAATCACTGGCACTACACAAGTGCTATTTTAAAAAGAACTCAGCTATCTAAATAAGCAATAAAAATGTAGATTCTTAATAATTTATCACCTAGGACTTTTCGAGGTCATTATCAAATTAAATATCAACTATACGTATCCTTCGTGTCCTACAACTTTAATCTGACAAATTCTTCTAGAAAGCGAACCCTAGATAATTGTAACATAAATAATTGTCTATATACTCAAATAACTTCTCTGTGTCCAAATACTGATGTGAGTAACCGAATTAAATTTGAATCTCATAAAATTCCCGCCGTCAATGGGTGGTAAATATCCGTCACGTGAAAAATGAAATACCATTGATTACACGTTTGATATGTTAACCCTTATAGTTCTGTCAGTTGGCGCATGTCCACCTGGCCAATCAAGAAATTTAGTCTGCACTTCTAGTGTGTGCCCTTCTCGCTCGCCTTGCATGCATGATTAGCCCCCCGAATTCGACCCTATGGTATGATAGCTTCTAAAATAAAAATATACTCATTCGCTCTCTTTCTCTCAATTTCCTCTCTTTCTGCCTCTCTCTCTTTCTCTCTCTCTCGCTCTGTCTTGAATTTTTGGGCTCATCTTCGATCGTATGAGAAGTTTCACTAACGGAGCTCCATCGATAGGTTCGAGTATCTTCTGTGATATGTCTATTTTCCCATAGGAAACATCGATGGCTTGGCGTAGGGCATTCATAGGGACTTCATTCAGATTAATTCACATATCATATGTACACGCACACGATTCATTCGAAATAATGGTCAAGAGTACGTCGTGATGATTTTAAACCCTGGGCAATCTTTCGTTAACTGAAAAGAAATTTCGATAGGATGTGAAATATTTGGCGAGCTTTGTAGCTTTTATTTTCAGTGACCTTACCCTGGCCGAAACTAACCGTAATATGTTTGGTTGTGAAATTGTAATCGAGCTAGACTCGTATGTACATTTCGGATGTATGAACATGTAAATATTGATTGTAAATAGAGAATGCGTTGGGCAAATCATATGCCCGGGCACAGGGAGATTCTATGGGCAAAAGTGAACGAAAAATGTAGAATAACATTTTTTCATAGGAAGCTTCGTTTTCGAGGAAAATGAATTTGAATTGAGGTTCTAAAATTTTTAGGAAAATTTAAAATTGTACAAAATCTTTGAACAGGTGCAGTTTTGTGGGTTCTGGACCCATAAAATACTTCAATCAATGTTAATAATAAAAAATCGTTCGATTGTTTACGATTAATATCGACAATCAACGAAATAAATCGAAAACAGTCCAGTATGGTATTATTACCCGCATCCTTCTATCATTACGACTTCCCTGTGTCATTCAACAAGTTAAAATTCGAAATTCCGCGGTGCACACGAGCATGTGATCTCGTTATGATGCCACATTCTAGAAAATGGCGTTCCAGTGATCGTGAATCATGTACCAAGTCGAATAACTATGCGAGCATTGCTGTATCTCTGAGTGCGGGCACGAGACGCAACGAACTCCTTGCGCATGCGCCCTTACGACTTTCGTGAGGCTTCACACGCATGTGCAGTGATCTTTGCTTGTCATTCAAAGCATTAACACGTTCAATCCCAAACCTGTTCAACAAAATAATAAAAAAAAATGTTTAAATCTCAAAAAATTATTTTTGTGCAAACCTAGATGGGATATATTTCATATATCTAAATTAATCTTACATATTTTTGTCTTTGAGCTACTGTATAACCTTTAAAGATGGCCGCCTCTGATCGAGACTTAAAGCACAGTCAAGATTGAACGTGTTAAAGAAAGTTTGAAACCGATAACGCTATAGTTTAACATAATAGATAACAAAAGCTTCAAATTCAACTTTCTCAAAAGCTAAGCTTCTTATGAAAACATTTCATTGGCATAATTTCTTTCCAGTTTATTTTTTTATATAGAATCACCCTCTGTCCGTCTGTACCATACACTGTATATAAAATATAACTACGTCCTTTTATTTTAACACCGTGAAAGAGTCTCTGGGTTTCATTTTTTTTTTATGTCCTTCTCTTGTTGCTCCTCTGCTACACTTCCGGTTACCCTCCAGCCTTTCTTCCTGTCACTGCAGTACAATATCCCTACGCGACTACTCACGAACATGTG